AACAAGTTGGTGCTAAAGCCTTTATAAAATATTATCTTTCCTAGTAACACAAATTAAAAATAAATTATTAAATTGTTAAATCAATTTTCATTTTACAGAAAGAGAAACGTTTGATTAAATATTTTATATTCTAGATATGCACGTTGGTTTGGATGCTAAAGGTTTGTTGTATTTAATCTTTAACAGTAACTAAAATCCAAATTTCTATGTGGATAAACAGCGCATTGAAGCCTGGCTAAGAAAAACAAATAAATAATAAAATTATGATTAAGTCATAAATTGCAGTAGAGTAAAATTGTACAAGAATAACAGCTGAAATAATATGAGAATAAAGTTATAATATTAACAAAATAAAGTGGGGTTAATTTCCCCATTGGTTAAAACGGCAGAGCGCCGGTGCTTCCACCTGCCATAAGAAATAATCACATTATCAATAATGACACACACCTCTACTCTCACACAGTGTGTATTAGTCATGGAGGCAGTTATTATTCCAACTGTTGACATCCACCAGAGGTGCAAACACTCGACAGCAGCCGACACTTTGCCCTAGAGCATAACACACACACACACACACACACACGCGCACACACACACTCTTCCACTTCATGCAACCTCTGCTTCCAACAGAACGGTGGCCAGTTTCCTGCCTGAACGTCCTTCAGCAACTTCATCTGAATCTGTTCTTTATTGGTAAATTACTTTAGAGCTTAAAGGACTGAAAACATTTACTGTAGGTTTTGATGTTATTTATTAGACAAACAGCAACACACTGCCATCACTACAGAGTATTTTGGTCCAGTTTCCAGTGCAAATATCTTATTACACTTGAAATAAGACAAACTAGCAAGTAAAATATACAAACTTATTTTAACTCAGTATTTTTTGCATATTGATAAAAAGTTCTAGTTCCACTGGCAGATTATTTCACTTATAAAATGGGAAAATGTCATAAGTAAGATAATCTTCCAGTGGAACTAGTACATTTTTAAAATCAATATTATGCAATTACTTACTTAAAGATAAATAATACTGTGATTCTTCGAACAGGTTAGAAAATATTTATGGCCATTACTTTTTTTTTTTTTTTGCACAAAATAATCCCTAAATAATGAGATTTTAATCTGCTAAATTCTGCCGTCCTGTCACTTTAAATCCAAATAACCTGCTGCTGGCCACACCTCAAACTTAACGTTTACACTCGCATGTGAAAATGGCTGCAAACAGATGCGCAATTATACAACTGTACATCTTTAAAAAGCAGAAGTGGAACCTTCTGCGCAACCAGTAAGAATGCAGCAAGCGGTTTCTGGATGGTAAGTCAACAGCAGCAGCCATTGTACAGCAGTAAAACCAGCTGACCAAACGTATGGAGCTGATGGAGCTCAGCTTGGGTTGCGAGGTAACGGGCGGAACTCTGCTGGAGTTGCTAGGTAACGGGAAGTGCCTGCTGATTTGTAGGACGTGATAGACATAATATTACAACTGAGTTGAATCTCTAG